TTTGATTATTCTGGAACTTTATTTCTTCTTTTAGTTTTACAAGTTTTGACATTGTCATTATGCTCTTCTGTAAACACATCCCTAAAAATATAGAACAAAATTAAAAATTCTGTGAAAATCAATATATTATTTCCTTTCCTGATATAGAGATTATCAACAGCAAAGTGGTAAAGGTCTAGGAATCTGGCACTCAATTTTGATTCTATGCAAGAAATATTGTGCTACTTGAATTTAAGTGGGCCTTTTCCATACACTGTCCTTGCAGGGTTCCAAAATACAATCAAAGCCGCAATTCAAGCACTTTTCCCCTGTTTATCAAGCATTTTTTTTTTGTTGCACACATATGACCTATTACTAATAAAGAAACTATATTGTAAATGTTTTATTAATAATAAGACATTAAAGGCTTTATTTTTGCCGCTTTATCACTTTTAATAACACATATAATGTGAAATCCAAAAAGGTTCAAGTGGCAGTCTATAAGAGCAAATTTTTTTTTTTTTTGTCTAAGGTACTGAATTAAATTTTTGTTGAAAATATCAAATTTCTTTCATACATATAAGCAGCTGTCATCCTTTTATTTCAAAATCATGTTTTCAGACAAAATATTAAAGGACTTTTTAAGAAAGTAACCTGAAATTAAAGGACTTTTTCTTTCTTTAAGCACTAATTTTGAAAGAAAAAGGACTCAAATTATATCACTTTTTAAAGGCCGAGTAAATCCTGCTAAATTACAAGAAAACAAAATGTCCATTTGATTTTTTTTATGTTTAAATTACCACTCACTGTTTTAGGTTTGGCCACAATCAGGACATTTGATTTTTTCACACAAATCAGAAAGCCATCTTAATCAGCTAAAAGGAGGCTAGTTGTTCTCTGAACAAGTACTGTTGTACGGTAGTCAAAATATTTTGATGTTTCAAGTAAATTCTGAGATACATTACATACTTCTGTTTTGGGTAGGATGGTTATATCAACCATACATAAAACAACAAATATATCTCAAGAGAACAATTTGTAGGGTAAAGTTGGGCAACTCAAGCAAGGTGCCAGAAATAGTGCGTAAATTTAGCATCTAGGATTATTCATGTATATCCCACTACTGTGATGTAAGTAAAAGCAAGAAAGTCAACATAAAATGTGAAAGAATCTGTCACCTTAATGGTACTAACTTAAATGATTTATAAATAACAACTTACATCACAGCTTGCCTGTCTATATCTTCATCAACTATTTCAGGTGTTGATTTCTGCTCAAGTTCCTGGTAACGCTGTGACATATTGACCTTCTCTTCCTCTAACTTACGACCTGTAAAAACAAATATCATCATTTGTGAACTGCAAGAATATATAATTCAAATTCTATAATCACAGAAATGTATTTAAAGCTTACAGTAGAGATTGGTGGTAGTTTTTCAAAGAAAAAATACTCTTCTTGTAACTCTTATTATCAGCAATGATAAAATTTTTTCTACCAAAACAAAAATTGAAAAACCACACTCCTTACCTCCCTTTATATTCAAAGAAAATTTGAAGTGCTGTATCATTATAAAAATAAACATTACAATATTATGGTAAACAAACTTTGAAAACTTCTGAAAGCTGATATGACATAAATAATTTTATTTTCTGGAGCTTTATCTACATTCCTTGCACCTAATATAGTGTAATTATAATTTTCTGTTATTCATTCCTATATGATTTTTTCTTTTTTAAATCATATTTACTTTTCTGAAGAAGTTGTTCATACTCGGACTTTCTCCCTGCGATTTTCGCCAATAAGTTCTTGTCAGTCTGAAAATGATGTGATACAATATTTTTTTATTTCACAACTAATATGAAATGTAACCAATGAACTTTAAGTATTTGTGCCATGTGATGTACCAATATACATCATAATTGGATCCAATCTTATAAATTTAGCCCAAAAATAACTGCATCAAATGCATATTGTACTCCATCCTGCATGGCCTTGTCTTTATTTTCCTAGTCCAAAAAAATCCATATCAATTCCATATTGTAATCTATCTAGCCTCATTTTAATTTTCTCAGATATCAAATCAATTATTGTTGAAATAATTAATTATATATTAATGTTGATAGAGTACTTATCTGATTTTACTGGACTAAAACACAGCTGTAAATCCTATATTGGATGAGGCTATATGTGTTTCTATAGGCCTATGGAAACAAATTTTTTTAATTGTATACAAATATTTCATGAAATATTGCTGTATGCCCTTTAAAGTTTTGATTATTTACAAAATGCAGAACTATAAATTAAATACTCGGCAAGGCTTCCATTAGTGGAAGTTTGAGAGTCATGCATTTACTTCTGGTTTTTTGCTTGTGACTTCCAAAATAAACCATTTTCCTTCTTTACCTCCAGTCAATTTGCATCTATTATTTTAGGACTTAATCCAGGAAGCCTTGCCTTAAGTTTACTTTTGAAATCACACTTACATAAGCATCTTTAGAATTCACCATTTGCTTTGCCATCTTGCTCAACTCTTCCTCAAACTTTTGACTATAATTTAATTTATAACTTGACATTATGTGAAAGATTATTTAAAAACTGCATGCCAGGTTATAAATATTTAACTTAATGAACCATTGTCTGTACAAATATAGCAAGGACAGCCATGGTATTTCACACACACAAACACATTTTTTTTAAAGTCTGATAAGGGCTCTATTTCATATCTCATCTGAAGTATCGTAATTTAAATTATCTCTTTTGATACCTGTCACATGTATACAGATATCATTTATCTCATTTTGGCAAGTCTCACTGGGACAGGCCCTTCGATACAAACTGATGCATTTTTTTTTTCTATTTCAAAATTTGTTGTCAAAAACTACATAATTGCAGTAAGCTTCTTTTCCATATCACCCATAAACTATTAGATGCATACACAAAACAATCTTAGATAAACATTATCTTTAATAGAGCAGAATCATCTGCCTTTTTCCTCCTACCATTGATTATCTTGAAAAAAAAATTGACATGTATTATATAAACTGTGTTTAAAAGTGAAAACTGACTCATAAAACCTATATTACCCCGGTAACTTACATTTCGTTGGTTCTTGAATCCTGTAGGTGTTTTATTTGTTGATTTACAGATTGTAGTGCCTGTCTCTTCTCACCATTACTTTTCTCCATGCTGTAAATATACTAAATAGATAATTGTTTGTTTATTGAAAGAATGCAAATTAAAAGAAGACAGGGACTTTAGTATATGCTAAAGAAGGCTTTGCTATTTAGATGTACCATTTAAGTTAAATGTGGAAGTAATTGCATTCATATATCCTAAGTGTCATATTAATGATATTTGGCCAGTTCTCAAGTAATGAGGGGCTGTGTTGAAAATACATGTAGTTGAAAAAAAAGACCTCAATAAAAGTAGGTTCCAGCAAAAGATCAAAGTGTAATAATTTTTAGAACTAAAATATTTACAGCCTAGCATGAATATGAAATGTAAATATTAAAAAAAACCTCTATAATCCTTGATATTAATAAATATAAAAAAACAGAGGAGAAAATCAAGGCACTAAATTGTATGATTCACCAAGCTGTCATTTCATAAAATTCCAAGATCGTATATAGTTTTAAATTATAAATTCTTTTTTTTCCCTGTCAGACGGGGCCCGTTTTTGGGAACTTTTTTGTGCTATTTTTTAATGTTTTTCTTAAAAAAAAATGAAACTTGTGTCCTAATAAAAATTTTAAATTACTAAAAAGATTGTAATAAATTTTCTGTTTTCATATAGAAATTTATAAAATTAAATCTTAAATGGATCAAATCCCCGTCTATTTTAAAACTCCCCAAAATTATACGACGTGCAAAACTGATTCAAGTCAGAAAAATTTACATTTAAGTTTACATTTAAAGGGGAAACTTCCCTTTACTTGATAATTGAATACCTGGGGCATCTCATTATTTGTAAAATTTAAAAAGTTATAATAAAAAAGAATAGCTTGAATCTTTTTATTCCAACAAAAACAACATGTAAAGGTCAAGGTAAAAGAATCAGGTTAAACTAATATCATTTCAGTGATCAAAATACATTTCTTACGCTAATATTCTGTGTAAATTGCATGAATGTAAATAATGACCAATTTGTGCTTCATATCCAGCCTTTTAAAGGCATGAGTATTGACATGCCCACTTGGTCTTAACTTGACAGCAAATTGCTTTTTGTGCCTTAACGACCAGATGGTCATACTTAATTAAACATATACTTTACATATAGACATATCTTTAGATTAAGATATAAGTATTATTAACAAGTTTTACCTGTCATTTTAGTGTGGATGTTTGTAATCTGTGTTAGCTTTGAATTCACTGAAAACAATAAAGCTACATTTAATTACTAACACAGAAAAGTCATTGATTCAGTGCACAATGAAAAACAAATGTTATAAAGATAAGTAAATAAAATAAGATACAAAATATGAACGCTGCCGAGGATTTATTCTACAAACTCTCTACTTTTTCTTTATTTGAAAAAACAACAACAACAAAGTGTTCATTTATCAACACGAAATGCTTAAATAACTCTGATTTTTTATAATAACTCAGACTATTTTAAGGCAAGCTGGGCGATGCTGTTAACTTGAAACTTGCTTTACTGTTTTGTTGAAGTTTAAATTTTCAATTGTGCATTTTTTAAGTTGCAATTAGCTAGCATTTTGCAGGCCTGAAATTTTAAATTGGCATTTATATAAAGTATTATAATTCATTAATGTTTAAAGGCAATTTCACATTTAACAAACTTAAATGTTTTCTAACTTTTGTTAATAGTGTTGTTTTGTTACATTGTGTCATAAGATAAATTCTCTTATCCTCCCTATTCTCAAAAACACAATGTCACATTTTGTCTACATTAAGAGTCTTTAATCTATAATAACAAAACATTACCTGTCTCTAAAACATTTTCAATATTCTTTCTCATCCGTCTTTTTTCATTGAGGCGACTCTCTAAATTGCATTTTGCTGAAATGACAAAACAAGAATGATTGAAAATATCAGCGCCAGAAAATGGCAGAAATATATACGCCTGAAATGCTAAACTTGTTTGAGTAAACAAAAATAATCTTTCAGGTGGGGAAAGGAAGACGGCCCATTCACAAAGTTTGTTCAAAGTACATTATACATTATTGTATTTTAATTAACTATTACAAGTTTCAAGAAATTGTCACAAAAACAAAGTGTTAATTTAAGTTGTCAAACCACATGTACCTTCTGTTTTTTTCTCTTACATTTCAATTAATAAATTATCTAATGTATTTATAACCACCTAAAATAGGATTTTTGAAATTTTTTGAAATTTAATTTGTCAAGAAAAAAAGTAAAAATAAATAAATAAACAAGAGTGATCAGTGATTATCGCACATGTGTCGCCTCATGATGGCCAATTTCATGTTGGGACAAGTTTTGTGACAGACGGACAGTGCACAACTAGACTAATGGTACTGATCATTCCTGTAAAGTTTGGATAAAATTGCACCAGTAGTTTATGAGGAGTAGTCCGGACAAGCTTTTGTGTATCTGGCAACACACAGAAGAAAACACTTTTTTATCAAAGGGCCATAACTCGACCAAAAATCATTCAACCGACAACCCGTGCAATATGCTCAAGGACTTGAGCTATAGATCAATCCTGTAAAAATTCATTGAAATTGCATTAGTGGTATAAGAGAAGTAGTCCGGACAATCTTTAAAAATAAAAATTATTAAAGGGCCATAACTCTGACAAAAAACATTGAACCGAAAAATGCTGACAATATGCACAACTAAACTTGGTACTGATCATTCCTGTAAAGTTTGGATGAAATTGCACCAGTAGTTTATGAGGATTAGTCCGGACAAGCTTTTGTGTATCTGACAACACACAGAAAAAAAACACCTTTTTATCAAAGGGCCATTACTCGACCAAAAATCATTCAACCGGAAAACCCGTGCAATATGCGCAAGGACTTGAGCTACAGATCAATCCTGTAAAGTTTCATTGAAATTCCATTAGTGGTATAAGAGAATAAATCCGGACAAACTTTAAAAATAAAAATTATTAAAGGGCCATAACTCTGACAAAAATCATTGAACCGGAAAATGCTGACAATACGCACAACAAGACTTGGTACTGATCATTCCTGTAAAGTTTGGATGAAATTGCACCAGTAGTTTATGAGGAGTAGTCCGGACAAGTTTTGTGATGGACGGACAGACGGACGTACTCACAAAATGGTACTTATGTGTCTTTTCCTTTGATCTTCTTGGCCATTTTTAGTCACACAAGGCCTAAAAAAAAACACACAAGTAAAAATGGAATGAATAGGATCAAAGATAATTTACTGTTACCCATTGTTCTCCAAGTCACACAAGTACCTCTGGGTTCGTACGGACGGACAGACAGACGACAGAGAAGTGATCCGTAGAGGCGACACAAAAACAATTATTATCACATTTTGGGGAAAAAATTATTATTGGCAGGGTCTTTCTGGTAAGAAAAATCATCAAAGTTGAAACAGATTTCAATCTTTAACAATAATTTAATCAAATTCAAAATGATGAAAAACAGGAAAACCCAGCACATATCCATACTGCTTTCATGACAATTTAAGTCACCCCAAAGCATCTGAATTTCTTCTATAAACTTTTGAGGGGAAAAAATGTTCTACAACTGAGGAAAAATATTGTTCTTTCTGGTTTGGAATGTGGTCCAATTCTTAAGCTCCAAATTGGCTTTAAAACTCACTGCCAGGATATCAGTGACCCAAACAAAAGAGCTATCATGGTAGCCTAGCTGAGACCAAGCTCAACTTTTTCTTATTTGAAACAATTTTCTATAGTCAAACACATCAGATATTTAGAATATTACAGTAAAAAATAAGTACACCTACAAGACATAAATGAAAGTCAATTTCAAACTTGACCTTAACAATCAAAGTCAATTGAAGATCAAGTTCACATCTGAATTAATCATCATTTCAGTTTGTCATACAATGTATGTGTTCTTTTGTCCAAGTATGAATCAAATGTAAATACATTAAGTAATAAGGTTATGACAATTCAAGCAATATTAAGATTTGATCTTTAAGGACAAGGTCATTTATGAGTCAAGGTCAAGTTCATTATGGTCTTCTTAAAGGTCCAGTTGAGTTACCCTACACACATGTTGAAAATTGCAATTTTGTTAAGTCAAACTGAAAGTAAAGGGGAATAACCCTACCAAACCTGAATAAATCCAGAAGCAAATCCCCAGGTGCACAACTGCTGACCAACAATCCTGTAAAGTTTAATGTCACTGGTCAAATACCCAAGTTACCCAATCAAGACACAAGTTGTAAATTGCAAACTTTTTACATGTAAGTTACATGTAAGTCATTCACAGATGATCAAAGATGCAATATTTAAGATTTATTGGGTTATGTAGTCTAATTTATTAACGCACAATTGTTTTATGGGTAATGTATTGCAGGCTTTACAATCGCTCAATTGCCAAGATTTTCAATATTGCCATATTCATAGAATATTTAAATTTCATTCATCATTTCTATCATTATTATTTTTTGTAAATCTGTTTTCAAATGTCGGTGCAGTGACCTGTACGAAAAATCAGCATGGTTTTTATGAAAAACAGGACCGATTCAGGCCTGTTTTGAACCAGAATTGGCAAAATCAGGGTAAAATAGACATGGACCCTGAATTTTCGAGAATTCTCACAAGGGAATTCAAGTTTTTTCTACCCTGACATCGTCTTCATTTTGGTAAAAGTCAGGGTGGAAGCAGGAATATTTGCACTTTGAAAATATTTTGACACAGATTTTACTGACTTGGAGAAATATAAGCAAAATCTACCCAGATATTTCAATGTTAGAAAATTTTCAAGAACCAGTTCAATACAGTCTTAAAAGTTCTTCATTTCCAGCCTGATTTTTCTTAGTTAAAGTTATTAGAAATGAATATTGTAATACACTAATAGTACGGTTTACATTACTGTTCACTTAAAATTGATTTTTTAATTCAGAAGAAAATATATTATAATTTCTATTTCTGGAAAGTTTTAGTTGATTTATGGTTAACTCCATTTAACAAAAAAAAAAAATTCATTTACTGAATTATTCTTTATTTTTGAAATTATGTAGATTATTTAGCTCAACATGATTATTTCATTGTTATCTATAAAATTGATAATTGTCACTGGTAATTGATTGTATTTATATTTAACTTATGATAAACAAATATTATTTAATGCATTAATTGGTCAGCAATAAGTAATGTACAAGATTTTTAGTTTATATCCATCATCTCACAATCTGTACAGAATCTCCTACTTCTAAGGTCAGCTTTCAGTTTATATAAACAAACAACCTTCAACGTGGAACTTTTTACAGTATTTCAAAATACTATATGTTAAACTGGGCTATCTGGCTGATGAAAATAGAGAAGTTACCACAGATTGACCGACAGCAGTTTAAAATCCAGAGCAAATATCACACCCTGAAAATTATTTCCAGCATGGTCATTTTCTTTAGAAAGATTGGAGGCTTTAGTTGTGATTTTAATTCAAATAAATCAACTTACAATTATATATTAATACATAAATGAGTTTTGATAATTAAATAGAAAATGAGATTTTAGAATTCAACTTCCCCAGCTATATAGAACTTTCTTGGGAAATTTATTGTGAAATTTATATATAACATGGAGCATGGATGTGTTAAACTTCGTTATTCAATTTGAAAAAAATGGAGGGAAATAAGCAGCCAATTGTAACAGATCAATGGTAAGTTATAATTGAATTACAGTTCTTAATATTTTTAATTTTTCATAAAATTATGAATTCTGTAAGCTCAATATTCAAAAAATTTCAAGAAACCTGTTTTAAAATATGGAGAGAAAATGAAATCATTCTTTATTTTTCTAAATAAACTATACATTTTGATCATTCCATTTAAGAAAAAAAACAACTTAAGTCTTAAAATGTAATAACAATTATGACACAATTGCATATTTTTTTTTTCTACTTCTAAAATTAAGGTTGAAGCCAAATATTTCAGTAACATGTGACAAGAGGATGAAGAAGAAAAAAATGGTGTAGTTGGAACAAAAGAATACAATAGAAGAAATATTACTGGTAATTAAATTTTTTTTTTCATTTTCTATCAAAATTAGTTTCAGTTTTAATTATTATAAGTATTCATTCAGGCAAATTTTATAGAATTAATGACTTCATAAAGTCAGTACATATATGTTAATAATGCTGTAGCTTCTTTAAAATAATTTCATCAATCATTTGTTCTTTTGATGTTTTGATTGCAATTAATGAAATATTATACCTTTAAAACTACATTGTATAGACATATTTCGTTACATTTTCTTTTAGATAAATATATAAATTGAAAGTTGACTATAGCATATTCCTACACTGCTTTCATATGTTTACAGATTGTGTAGTCCAGAGACTATAGTGTGGAACTATGTAATACAGTGTGCAGCTACCTAGTGGAAATATCAAACAAGAATGACTTTTGAAATGTATTTAATTGTATGAAAATTAAATACAGATAAGTGAGAAAAAAAAGTCTTAATTATTATTTTGTCAAATATCAAAAAGAACAGGAATCTGGGTGGATTTTTATTTTAATTTCAGGGTGGGATTTGCAAAATTTTGGGGCGGGATAATAACAGGAGGAAAAAAGTCTGGCCTGACTTTTTAAACAGAAATCAGGGTGAATTATGGCTCATTTAAATATTTCATTTTAATCCCACCCTGAAATTGCTGTTAATTTAACTAGAAGTAAATCTATTTTTAGAAATCTGTGTGAGTGAAAATTCTGCCCTGGATTTCCATTTCAGGGTGGTATTTTTTCTGGCTCATTTAAATATTTCGTTGAATCCACCCTGAAAACACTATATATTGTATACTACAAAATCTAAAAATAGATTTCTGTCTCCTCTATAGTCAACTGAATAGTTTAAAAAACCTGGCTGGGAATAAATTTCTGATCCCATGTCAAATCAGGGTGTAGTCAGGGTAGGCATTTTCGTACAGGTAAGTAGACAATCATTGTAACTGTAAAGTACTCTCGTGTGGCTGTCTCGATTCAGGCCTTTTTAATGTCACTAGTATATTTAATTATTCTTTTTATTTGAATGCCTATAGAAAGATATTTCTGATATGTTTTAATGTAGCGATAGAAAAACAATAAAAATCTTTACAGTTTGAGTCAGTAATTTGCGAAATAAAAGTAACTTTTGGTTATTTTTTACACATTGATTAAATTTAAATGAAAGTGCCCGATTCTTGTAAAATTATATAAATCTGTGGTTTCAAAGTCTTAAGTAAAATTTAACAGCATAAATTGATGATAATGAATTTTTTTTTGCTTGATTGTAAGTGTGTTTGATAAATTATGACATAAATATTGAATATTTTTAAGTTATTAGGTCATCAAATGGACTGTATGGCAGTGTTCGAAATTAGCAGTAGTCTGATAGCCCGTGACTACTAAATTTCTCCTCGGGCTACCAACTTTTCACAGTAACAAGCCCGACCAGGCTACTGTATTTTCAGAGGCAATATCAACAACTGTTTTGAACAAATGAATCATGCTAGTGAAATGTCTTTTGGGCTAGTGAATATTCCAATCTGGTAGTCCGACCAGCCTAGTTGATTCAAATCCTAATTTCTTACACTGGTATGGTAAGCACATTAACACCTGTACAATTACGCATTTTGATTGGACGAGAGTCTGCTAAAACTTGTGTAGTTTTTGGACAGTGTATGTCCTTGTAGAAGTGTTTCTACCAGACAATTATTTAGGTCACGAATAAATGGAAAGGCACTAATCAATGAGAATAAAGAATTAAACCTGAACTAAATAATACCAGTCACACAGTATATAAACGATTTGAACCCCAACCGGATCTTGTGAGAAGATCACAGCATCTAAACGTACAATCAGGCGTAATGACACATTAAACTATCAAACATCGGCTTGAATATAATATGTTACGGTATGTTAACATTTGAATCATTTTAAGAAAAAAATTATCTTTGCTTAAATATACATCCATAACCTTCTTCGTAAAATATATGCGCATAAAACGCTGAGCTCTTCGCCTCATGTTTTGTTTATGTCAACACACGCCGATTACACAAGCAAATGTATGCCTAAAATTGTTTTATTTCACTATAACTCATTTCTGAATCTTAACTTTATTGTCTTAACCTCATGTTACTGGACAGACACTTGTGAAAATATCTTTGAATATTGATAAAACATAGTAAACAATAGAGGCGACATTTCTGATAACTGTACCCGTCTTGCTAAAACAATTTTAATGATTTGTACCCTACTTGTGTTTTCACTGAACCATTACTTGCGAGTCACTTTTGATGATTTTTATTGTGTTTTTGTCGTATGTTCCAAATTTTAATGTGCAGAATATGAAGTTATTGTGTCACAAGAGAAGGGTACATGTTCTAGTGCTATGTAAGTAACTATAAAACTGCATATGAATAGAGGAGCTTCGTCATGTTTTCACTGTCTGCATGAAGTGGCTGGTTATACGAATCAGAAAGTCAATTATTTCTTGATAGGAATTATTAACTAACAAACCTCATCTTCACTTACCATTCATTTTTCTTTGGAAAGATATAAAGCTAAAATATTACATATGTACTATAATTTTTTTTATATTTAGTTCAACGGCATTGTTGTTAGTTTTGACGTGACCGTTATATAACGTCACGTATCAATAAACCCCGAAATATCATTACAAGATTTTTTTGCAGATTACTTATTTCAACATGTTGAAAGCTTTACACCTACCGTTGATTTCATTCTGCTTTTTAAACACTGTTTTATATTCTCAGATATTCATTGACTTTCTTTTTTTGACATGTACGACTTTTGTTCTTGTATATCTTTCATAGACGTCGACAATTTTGGCATCTTTTTAAACGGAGAATATTCGAGAAATTTTGAAATTTTAATTGTCAGTGTTTCAGCTATTGGTGTTAATAAACTTCTTTTTATCGTTTACTTTAATGGTTGTGACGCTGAAATTTTTTAAGTAGGAAATTTTATTCTGATCATTATTTATTCTTATTTTCAAGTTGCAGTCTGGATGGCGAATAATTATGTGGCTAATGATGGCATTGAAATTCGTAGTCTTTACTCAACAGTATATGCAGTTGTATTCTTCCATGGTGATCCGAAAGAAAAATATACATAGCATTATATATTTTATTAAACAAATGATTAACAATATTATCAGTTAAACCAATTCTCGGTAAATACCTTAGATCCCACCTTATATACTAAAATTCCATTACAATCATTTATATTTTCTGGCAATAATTGATACAAAATCGCAATGAACGTAAACTTTTTCCCCAATAAATCTTTAAAAATACTCACAAGTCAGGGTACAGATAAAATTCGTAAACTCACAAGTAGGGTTCACAATCACCAGCAAGTAACGTTCAGTTTACGGAAATGACCTCCTTGGTAAAACTCTTAAATTTATGTTCAAGATCCAGCAATATGTTATGCATATGACTAAATTATCGTTTGTTATTGATTACTTTAGTAGTTCGATATCACAATTCAATGTTTAACTAAATCAACATTGGAATAAGACGGATTTGTGTTCGTGTTCAGTGTTGATCACCTGAAAGCTGTTCGTGAGTTTCGATTATTTTATAGCCTTCGTGCTAACGTTTATGTTTTGCATAACTTAGACGTTTAATAAAGTTTCTAACTTATAATATAAATAAAGATTTACTAACCTAACCTCCATCAGTATCAATATAAATACCAATATCGTAAACAAGTGAAGTGGCAGAATATGGCTGACACTAAAATCTTCTCACAAGATCCGGTTGGGGTTCAAATCGTTTATATACTGTGAGTCAGCAAAATTATTAAAAATGTAAGTTTGAATATAGAATTTAGAAATCAACTCCAATTTAAAAATGTAATTATTTTATTTGAAAAATATACAACGTTTCGACTCAAAAGTCTTCATCATGAAAGTCAAGTTGAATATATTGACCTTTTTGCACATCTTTAAGACTAAAAGTTAGAGATTCCATCTTTGAAATAAAAGTCTCTTCTCTTCAAATTTACCCTCCTTAAAACTTCAATCGTCTGGCAACGCGATTTCATTATCACAGTCACTGAAAAGCTTGCACCGATAGGCACATAAACGCTAAATCAACTTGGGTATTACATCACTAATTTTTTGGCGAATAAGCATTATCAAAGTCCTCGGCAGCGGTTACTCCCCTTTATAAGTACACTGACCCGAGTTCGATTCCAGGGGGGAATGGAGCCTCCGTGGCCGAGTGGTTAAGGTTGCTGACTTGAGATCACTGGTCCCTCACCGCTGTAGGTTCGATCCTCACTTGGGTCGAAATCTTTCATATGTGGAAGTCATCCAGCTGGCTTACGGAAGGAAGGTCGGTGGTTCTACCCGGGTGCCCGCTCGTGCGTGAAATAATGCCCGGAGGGGCACCTGGGGTCTTCCTCCAGAAATAAAAGCTGGAAAAAAATCGACGAAAAAATATCGGCGAGACGCTCTAGGATGGCCCGACTTGAGTGTACGGTCGCCCATATGGGGTTTCCGGCGGCTACCTTAAATAAACGCATTAAAAAACGAAGCTTCAACTTAAACAGTGCGGTTGCAAATTACCAATTTATTTTTTATATATAATCGTGCGTGATAAATAATTTTTGTTAGTATTTCGATTTTGGAAATAGTTACGATGGAAAATGTTGAGGCTGTAAAATTTTATAAAAGAAATGAATGGATAAGTTTTAAATAAGTTAATTACTATTAAAAAGCACGAGGGAAATAATTCAAAGATTGTATTTCAATGATACAAGTAATCGCAATAATACTTGAATTGGAAATCAATATCATATTGCTGACTATGAAATCAGATTCGATGCCTTCAAGCCAGAAATTCAAATAGAGAAGGACATAATTAGAAGAAATCTTTATACCGACATTAAATCATGTGCAGGAAAAAATAATGGAAGTGTTAAACATGCAAAACACAATAACATTACACAGAAATAATTTAATAACATGCAAAACACAATAACATTAAACAGAAATAGCTTAATTGTTACATAAATGTAGCAATTGTGGACGGCAGACGGATAGACGACAGATGACAGATAGCAATCGATCTTAAAAAGCCCACCATGAGCACGACGAGCTCAGGTGTCGAGCCTATAAAAACTTCAACGCATCTTTTCGGCCCTTTCTGTCAAACTTCGGATAACAACATCCCAGATGTTTTGACTGATGCGTATTGTGTTATTATAATATACTAAAAATATTTTTAGGCCGATTATCTTATCAGCTTAACCATAGCTTACCCAATCATTGTATCATACTTAAACACTTGAAGTCCATATTGCAGACACTGTCTAATACAAAGTACACGTTTGGGAGATAAGTTTGTAACGTAAACTGAGTTGTAAGGTAAACTATTATATACATTATTCACAAACAAACAAATGTTCAAGGATATATTGGGTTTGATGAAATTCAAGGAATGATTGGCGATCAGAAGTTTAACGTACTGAATATTTTCGTCTATTTTAAGTGTCTTCTTTTGGTAAACAATGGAGAGAGCAACTGTAAATGTATAATCTAAATAATAACGTAGATACAACATTTTGTGTTTACAGAGATAGAATTATTCATATTTTTTAAAGTCCTGCCAGCAAATATGGACAGGCTGTTAGTGATTTTAATATTATTTGTACTTACAGGTAAGTGTAATTTTTATTTACTTTTAAATTAATCATTTGAATCTATGTCTATTAACACACACTAGATCACAAAATCACGTGTATACTTACACGTACTTAAACGTGTTTATATATTCTTATAAAAGTGTCATCTAAGAAAGCACTGCTCGAATTTGTTAAATGAAACTTGTCTGTTTCTTGCATAAAGCTTTACCAAAATTGTTAAAATATTCTCGGCCATGGTATAAAATCCGGGTCAAAGTGACTTAAAATGTCTGAAACCAAAAAAAAAAAAAAAAAAATGTCTAGCCGACCTCTTACAACTTTTCAAAATCATTGACCTTTATCGTATAACAAAATATTTAGAAATTCTCTGACTTTCTGACAGGAAGTTCTCTGCAAAGAATGCTCAAAGCCTGGTTTAGAGTCAAAATTGGCCCTGCTCAAAGGGTCAATTCGTTTGATATAAGGGATGCGGTCATCGAATGTTGCCCTTCCATTCTTTTTTCTTATATCACATAGTCACAAAGAGAAAGTTTTTGTAAATCCTTTCTGCAAAACCCAGATGTACAGCACTCACACAATTGGTGTAAAACATTGCTGTTTTAGACCTTTACTAAATTGGTTCGAATCATGAGCTTGGGGTCTAAATTTACACTAGGAGTGTAATTGATGTAATGTCAAATAGGAGAAAAAAATCTACAAATCTTGACATCTACAACAATTACTGAAAAGACTACAGTTAAGACATATATACCCAAATGCACAAAGATGAGATATTTGGTTTTTAGCATGTTTAGCGCATTATATGGTAGACGACTCCCACGCGTTTTCTAAATAATAAACCTGGGATTAAAATTGGCTCCTCCCTGGGGTTCGCTTGATTTAAACAAAAGGTTTATAAAGATCCTCACCAAACCTTATAGATGTTCTATTGTTTAAACATGAGCCTTGGGTCGAAATTGACCCCGCCATATGACAATTGATTTTACATAGAGTCATGTATTGGCAGAAAAAAGTCAGTCATCTGCTTTATCACTGCAGCTGGGACAAAAACAAGCTTATACATTTTGTGCGTAGGATTGTATAGATGACAGCTACTAATAGACTAACTCCGGAATTTAAAATATTTTGGGTTTTTCCTAGCTAATCCGGGGATACAAACAAACTTTAATAACAGTAACAACTTCGAAAATATTCGGAAAAGGTTAACTTATCTATTGTGTCCAGTAGCTATAACGGTAAAGGTTTGTGTGTTCGGAAAACTCCACATTTGCCGAGTTCCGGATAACATCTATTGTGTTCAGATGCAAATTGGTCCCATCCGGTTGTCTGTTACATGTATTTGATATTTAGCATTGTCTTATGGTACGCTATCTTGATTGTTCAAATTGTGACCCCATGTGATATGTAAGGTGTTAGACCAAGTAACCAACTTTATTGTTTTTAGAACTAAAGCCACAGACACACTATATGCATTTTGTTATAATTTTACTTTAGTTTTGACTCAGTACTTACTTCTTGTATTTTGGTATACAACATTTGAATCTTTTATCCCAAGACATAATTATCCCGTCAACAAAAGGTATATAAACAAGATAATACAGCGTGATCAAAAGATACTATTTCTTAGAAAGATGATACTAGCTCGTTGCCAGAAAATAATTTTTGCTTGTGGCCACAAGATAAATGAATAAGTACACACGTCACCTCTGTACATTAAAAACATATCGCGTTACGTTATGATCACCATGTAATGTGTGATGTTCCCTGATAAGCAGGATACGCATTATAAGAACATAATTATACAAGAGCATATCAATATAAATTATTACATTACAGCTACATTTAAGTACATTAACCTTGATATCTCTTTGAACTGTTACAATGAAAGTACAGAGTAATAGACTAACAAGTTATGTAGTTTTTTGGGGGGTTTTACGTCACATCGACACAGTATAGGTCATATCGCGACGTTCCAGCTTTACTGGTGGAGGAAGACCTCAGGTGCCCTGCCGTGCATTATTTCAGGCTCGAACGGGTACCTGAGTAGAACCACCGACGTTCCGTAAGCTAGCTGGATAGCTTCCTCACATGAGAGTATCCAAAGTCCCTGTCGGGATTCGAACCCACAGAGGTGAGGGGCAAGTGGTTTGAAGTCAACGACCTTAACCACTCGGTCACGGACGCCCCCAACAAGTTATGTACAATGTACATGAATTTAGTTGAACATGTTTTACTATGACACTTGATTTCGAATCTGATTCTACTTTATATAAAATATTACATCTTTTTATTGAAAGACCAAAGTGTGATACCACCGAGGAAGCTAAATTACCAAAATGATATTGCACCATTTAAGACTTGTATGAAGAAGTGTATCATTGAGGAGTCATCGTTCATAACGAACAAAACATTCACTAAACAAACGTAAGTAACACTGTCATTTTCATATATATAATTTAATCATATACAATGTTGACAATGTTTGCAATCAGATTTCAAGCGCCTTATTGTATTCTATCATTTTTTTCTTAATTGAAAATATTTATAATAAGCAAAATCATAATAAATAAAGATTATAAACATTCATCGATCAAGCTAATGAATCTTTATTGCAGAATGATGCAAAGAAGTTATGACGGTGTTATTTTAATTAAGTATGCGGGTACAAACGAAACGAAATGTATCAAATGTGTCACATACATATCATCTAGAAACAGGTAAATGTTGTTGTTTTTTTTTTTGTTTTTTGTTTGTTTTTTTCGTTTTCTGCTTGGCTTTCAGAAATTGGCTGTCAAAATTGATTAAAAAAATTTCTGTATATTAATATAAATACGAACTTTATATTGTGTATCAGTATATCATACACGAATACAGTTTCAGCGTCTTTCAATATTTGATGAAAAGCAATTTAATATGTCATTTAGGTATTAATTGTAATTGCAGATCTCAGATGTTCCCCCAATATACTGTAAGCTCAATATCCTGTTCTTTTTCAACTTAACAACACACTTTATCATTTAAAACATATTAAATCTTGTTGTATTGTTACATATACAATGTACTTGTTAAATTTTTACGAACATGAATAATATTCCCTTTTGTTATTGTGAACATTTTTCATGTGCATTTTTCAAAGTATTCATACATGGAATTGTAGGAGAGGTTAATTTAGGCATCATATTGTTTGTTTTTGTTTTGTTGTTGTTGTTGTTTTTGCATCATAGTTGAACTGAATATTTAGACATTGAATATTCAAAGCTTGTTTATTCCTGTGAGGGTAGAAAAATCATAACAAAATAATTTATCTGCTGTTGCAGATTTCCAAATGCAGCAGATGGTAGACATGTGAAACAAACGGTGAACTTAATGATAAATGAGGGAAATCCTTGCAAACCGGGTAGATTTGTTAAACAATTTAATAAGTTTTTAAAATTCTAAATTAAGACATGAATATAGTTATAATCTAGTAAAGGTGATCCATAGGAAGCAATGAAAATAATAGCCTTATATAAAAATTGTAAATTCGATTTTATTGAGCCTGATCATAAGAGATAATGTTTAAATAAAAAGTGCAACATCTCATTCCACCCCTCTAGCACCGGTATAAGCGATATTCATTCTTCAACATGGAATCATTTATTACGAAGGACAAGAAAAAATAATAAAAAAGCACTGCTGAAAGTAAAGTACAGAAAAACTCTTCATAGCTGTCACAGAGAAATTGACACCTGCTGTTGTGAGAAACCAGAATATGATCATCCCATAGGCAAGCCCGCATAGCTCAATCGGTTACAGCGCGAGGCGTATAATAACGATATTTAGAGGACCTACTTAAATTACTAAACAGTCTTTCAGATGAGACTTTAGATTGGGGCATCTTTATGAATCTTGCACCACTGTCCCTAAATTTTTTTAAACAACTAGCACTCTACTTGAGGACTCATCCATATTCGAAACTGGTTGCGAGCATAAATAAAGTCACATAAACACATATCCTTTGCAATCAATGGAAACAACAATATTTAAACCAAGTTTACAATAAAACAAAAATAGACAACCTTTCTGTTTTGAATGCTTAAATTAATGTATTGGCTTTAATAAACTTTTTTACTTTTCTGTCCAGGCAACAATCATATTTGCAACTTCTTGATTCATTTGGAAACACCAACTGCACTGTCAAATACTTTGCATGATACAATTGAATCTAAAGCCCTGTCTTATTTGCTTGAAAGAACAAATGGGTATCCTTCACAGAAATGTCGGTAAGTTGCTAATAAAACAACCCTCAATTTCATATCATTGGTGTTTGTGTGTTGAGGTCTTTTAAACTTATGTGTGTGTTCTTTAAAACTTCTGTCACTTTAAACACAGATGAATTAAGATTATGATTATTTATCATTTACAAAAATAACAGCTTTTATTATGAGTTATAATAAACATGTAACATGTAACTTGTGAAAGTGCTTTAAAATCGTAATAAAAGACAAGGTAAGTGACTAAAGATTATGGCATATATATAACAAATATTCTTTGACTTCAGTTTTGTGTCACCGAACATACAGTATGAAATTAAAGTAACACTAACATTTCAAACTGATTATGAGAATTATGCTTACGAATGCACCAGTATAGCATCAAAATACAACGAGTAAGTGTATTTTTTATAAACGTATATAAATGCATTTCCATCCTAAAACAAATGCAATAGAACTAGATATCACTTTGAATTAGTCTTGATAGATAACATACATTCCAAATATGGTCTTTAATAGATACTTAGCACAGCTTTTATTCTCAATTGAATATACACTTTGTTATATATTGACAGTTTTAATAAGAAATTTTATAAATACTAATAGGCAAACTGCTTAAAACTTAAAAGAAAACTATTCAAGATAAAATCGTTAGAGCGTTCAATTATTATAAGTATGTCTTAAATATATATATATATATATATATATAGTAGACGAAAAGAGCACATGAATATTCCGAAGTGGTCTTCACACATTTTGTAACAAGACTTCATTTTCCTTCACATAAATCATTTTTAATTTTTTAATATTGAGTATACTTTTGTAATATGTTTTTTCTATGGAATTTTCACACTTTATCTTTATACTTTCGAACATCAAGTTAGAGGTAATTAGGATCTACGGATTGATTTGTTTGACAAGTTCATCTGGTAGTAGTTACCGAAATTATACTTAGATACGACGATCACACATTTTGCTACTATTCTATTTGTGCTAGTGAATATATACAATTATCACATGTTGTTGTATTAAGTAAATTTATAATAATGTGTTTTGATTTTATATAGAAATAGAAAATTTGTATGCTAACATTTACTTCTGATGAATTGTAACAGATAATAATGTTAAATATCTATCATGTACTTAACTGCTGATTTCTTTGTACATGTATTCATTTTATGTTAATATGTTGATTACTTGTAAACATATTGTCCTCATGGGTCTATGACCGTCTGGAATTTACTTGAATAAAATCTAAAATCTAAATCTAAATCATTTCTTCCCCAACAAGGCAACGTCACAAGTCAACATATAAGCAACATGATAAAGCCCATACAGATATCAAAATACCACAAATAGGTAATAACTTTAAATCACATTACTTATACTTTTTCAAGGGGAGATGTGAATAATTCGTATCAATCAATGAATTTAGTATTATAAACGTTATTTTTGTGTAATTTGTTTTCTTTATTTATTTCTATAAATATAGACAAAATAGTAACTATATATACGCTGTTGATAATTGAGTCTCATATATAGTTCTAATATGAAATAAACTTGTAGTAAAACGAACACGTTCAGTACTTACGAATTAATTTGTTAACTGAAATTTTGTAATATGTTCAGACGCTTTTGTATGTTTTTATGTTCTTTTCTGTTTCTGTTTAAATCAGTATTATTGCAGATCTCCGTGTGGAAGACATTGTAGATGATAACAAAGATGAAAAGGATGATTCGACATATATATCATATATGAGAGGACTTATTATTTTTATTGCTCCTTTCAATGTTTTAGTCTTTGTGATATATATTTGCATATGTTTTAGTAGAGGTAAGTCTGTTTTATAATCATTATTTACATATTTCTACGATGATATTAGTTGCTAATGTACATAGGAGAATGTTTGATGTACTCAAAAAATATATCCTGGAAGGACAGGAGCCATTTTGTCTGTCAAATATAGATATAAATGTTCATAGGCTATCAATTGTAGTATACTGAGAACCATTTAGAATTAATCTTTTTATCTTTACCCAAGTAGTTCCGAATTTAATAAGATTGTTTCAATTGGAAACGATCAATTATCTCTACATCTTCCACTCGTCAGACACCTATTCTATATAAAAACAATCTTGGTATCAAATTAATCAACACAATCATTGATCAACCGGTAAGGCGAGTCAATTAAACTTTATAAATACAATTAACTAGCGATCTTTATTTCTTGTGCCTGAAAAAGGTTCCCGTTAAAAGAAAACTGAACATAAAGATCTCGAGTGGTTATCCTAAAAACTCTTCAGGGCTAATATAATATAATATAATATAATATAATATAATGCAACAATTTTTATTTATGAATACGATAAATCTATTTTTATTACTACAGTAACCAGAGATTGTATTTAAAATGCTTTTTGGAACTCATTAACTAGGACTCTCTTCTAAAACCTTAAATAAAAACGTGTACTCATCATAAAGCAATACAAAGATCAGTTGTATCTGTTTTTGGTAATAAATTGTGTCATCGTAGTGATAACTGTTAGGGTTTACACACACATACCCATATCAAAGTATGAGAAACACGAAACGACAAAGACGATGAAAACGGCTTATGAGTAAATTTGGTTTTTATAAGAACTAAATAGTTTCCATTTGATGTTCAGTGACTGTACACTTTCATTATTGAAAGCATTAATTACAAATAGGTAAATGGGTTTTTCATCAATGGACTAACTTTTTTGTTTTGGAAAGTACATAATGAGCTGTATACTTTTTTGTTTCAGAAAATTCCAAAAAGAAAGGTTTGTATAGTTTTCTGATATTTTGCATAAGGAAAGCAAGCACACATTGATTAACTGTTTTCTTTCCAACAAACAGTAAATGCAGGTCTGACGAGTATTATGAGTATTATAGACAACAGTACTTAATCATTGTCATTTGGGTAAGATTATAAAAGGAGAATAAATGTTAAAGTTATGAAAATCATTTTTGATTCCCACTAGGTTCAATTCAACATTGCTTGCTTTCTTTCAGGGAATACTTGACCTATTTACTTTAAGCGTTTCACTTGCTATATATAGCTATATGTTGCTTTATATTATAGTGTTCTGTTTGATCTTCATATAAGATATTTACAATTTTATTAACCCCGATGAATATATAAAGGAATAAAATCTGAACAATTTGTTTAGGTTAAAAGAGTTTATTTTAATACAAACTTAATCAAAAGTATCGTCACTTTGCTTAAAATTTAATTTCAACTAACTTGCCTGTTACATTCATTATTAAATTTTAAAACATTTTTTCTCTTCTTGTGTTTTTGCTGTTTCTGTTTGTTGTTTTTGTAACCAACCTTTATTTTTTGGTTATTCATATTTAAGTATGCAAACACGACTTAGAATTTTTTTGTGAAAAAAGAGGCACGTTTTTTTGTCTTTGTTTCGTTGCAGTCAATATTTTGAAAGCCCATGGCTCAGTACATGGAACAAAGGTACAAAGTAAGGTAGAGGGATTCCTATCAAAAAACAAGTACGAACCAGTAATTATAACCGGCGATAAAGGTGATAAAACACAACTCGAAAATCAAACTATAGTCTTGTGTATTAACGATTCCAGACTTAAAGATGATATCGATAATGTATTGCATAAAGTAAAGGGTAAGCCAGATCTTGTTTTTGGTCATTGTTTATGCCTACTGTTTAGTGAAAAGAGGACAATGGATTTTAGAAGATTGTATACCATTTATTTCAAGCAACGTTCTCCTTCATTAATGATAAGTTCTTTGTACTAGAAACACTCAAAACATTAACCAAATCTAATCTTAACATTAGCAATCATCATTCAAGAAAACTTTGTTTGATATTTTGGTAAACCTTATATCTTTATAATGTCATCAATATAAATTTCTGTCAATACTTTCAGATTATTGCAAAGATAACATCATCGTGATTGTTATTCATTTTAAACAAAATGATTATTTTGAGTATGGAGATTCTGAAAAGAAAGTAAAGGGACTTGTCGCCAAGATAATAGATTGGGATATGCGAAGTGATCCTGTCTTTGATAACAAACTAACATTGTCTGATCTACAAGTTTTTCTGAAAAGTACGTTTGAAACAAAGCAATGTTGTACAAAACCGAAATGTTGTAAAACATTAAACAGTTGTAATAAGTCAAAAAAGACAGGCCCATGCGAGTGTTAATGTTCAGATAAGAAGTAAAAATAAAAGATACATTTTGAATATTTTGTTCAATATTTTACAATTAAGCAATAATTCATGGGACCATCGGAAATGTCTATAAATATCGTTTAGATTTAATCGGTCACGCCCAATTCCCCAAGAGAGAGGAGCAGTCTTTTTATAATTCGGATAGTTTTTATATTATTTTAGACACATTTTGTATTATCAATAACTGGCAATAAACCATTTTAAAAGACAATCTTTTGAAATATGTCCCTAATTCAACTCTTCTTGACAAAATAAGCATAATGTCACTTAACGTAATATAAGAACTGAGTTATTTACTTGGCTTGTCAGATGTTGATATGCTTATAAGAAAGAAACACTTAATTTCGATGTGTAAGTATACTATGTTTTATAAAATCATTTTTGAAAAACAATTGATGTTATATTTCAACAAAAATTTATACCATAAGAGACAAATTGATAACGATATCCAATCTTTGACTTTGCCACATAACGATTCGCTCCACCTAATTGACGACTTGACACATCTTAAAGCACTTGCATGAAACGAAATATTGACATTCATAAATGACTGAATGCAATGATTTTTTTGTATATCTATTACACGCCCGGCAATCTGTCGCTCCACTTCAAAATTGTGGTGTACAGTAAAACGAGCGAACGGCATTTCCGAGATAGAGAGGAAGGGCGATTTAAACGGCTAATTGTAAGTATTGTTCATGTTTTTGTCTTGTTATTCATTTAAGTTGTATTTTCTTCGAAAAATGGAAAATGTAGTTCCTTGTAGGACTGTTTTAGACTTCAATGATCTAAGCTGTTACAAAATAAAATTATATTAAGTCCGGGGAACTTTTTCACCGGCGAAGTGAACGACGATTTGTAGAATATTAAACTTCCAAACCATTAAAATGCCATACCCTTCAATTTTTTTAAAAAGAAAGTGTATGAGAAAAACATCAACCCGCAATAATAACTTGTCCTTCGTGCAACATAAATTACTGAAGGATTCCTTAAATTTCTAGATCAATAATTTTCGAAAGTAGTGGAGCCGAGGGGCAAGAGATGGAGCGAAAGGTTCGATGTTGAGCACAAGGCGATATTGAATTGGCGTATTGGGAGGAGCGTAGTCTATGAATTGCTATATATAAAAGCTATAGAAGTTAAAATAGACATGATCAAGTGTTCAGACCGAGATATGAAATTATATACCTTTTTAAGACAACTTATATAAAGCGTGATATCCTTTCAACGACTATAGCGTAATAAATGTAATCGCAAAGGGGTCACCTATAGCTGCCGTATAGATTCCATTATTTATGTTCCAAATTTGGATGAGGCCCCGATCAAGAAATCATGTGGATGGCGCAATACAGGATGCCACTTATTCGATGTCAATCATGATTTTTGACACGGTCATGTGCAATTTAAAACGTGTGTCCGTGCAAATTCGACAAAATCGAATATTTTCAGTTCTACTGCGAACAAATGTTTCCGAGTAGGTACATGTAACGCGATTGTTCCCGCCAAAATGTTATGTTTTTTTTCGAAAAGTTAGATATTCAAGGCGATGCAGAGTCAAAATTATGCAATGCACGGGGCACATTAAATGGATCACTACTACCGAGTTCATTTAACTATGACTTACGTACATGTTCAGATCAAACACAAATAAGTCACGTTTTTATGGAATTGAAAGACTTTTGAACGGTGTGGAATCTCTTTTAAAATGGTTGACAAAGTGTCAGTCGTTCTAGGGATATAACGCTTGTTTCAGTTATGTTTTAAGATACTTCCTCTCTTATATAGCACTGTTGATTAGTTTATTATTCTCCTCTCCAAGTGTAAATAGAACTATTTACTTTTATAATTAAACACTGCATATTGTCAGTACAAATCTTAGTGTAAGAAAGAAATAAGTTAAAAGAATATCTGTTTTTGTCTTTGTTGTTTATTCACAAAGTATCTATGAACAAAACGAATGTAACAAAAAAGGCGGTGCTCATTTGGTGTACGGAGTAAAATTATCAATAATTGATAGACCTAGTTATAGTAAAAAATAACTAATATATAATTATATTCCTCCGGTTTCACATTTTAGTACGTCTATTTTTACTTTGAAAGATTTTATTTATAGACATTCGTAGACTATGCTCCACAAACTTAATATCGCCTTGCGCCAAACAACCGACCTTTCGCTCCATCTCTTGCCCTTTGGCTCCACTTCTTTCGAAAAAAAAAATCGATATACAAATCTAAGAAATCCAACAATAGTATTTTATTTTTGTACGAAAGACTAGCTCTTGTTACGGGTTGTTATTTTTCTAAAACACTTTTCCAAGAAATCAGAAGTGAAGAGCGTTTCCATGGTTGGAAGTTTGATATTTAACAAATCGTCGTTCACTTCGCAGGGGGAAAAGTTATCCCGGACTGAATATAATTTTCTTTTTGTAACAGCTTTGATCATTGGGAGCCTAAATCAATCCTTCACGGATCGACATTGATTGATTTTTGAAAAACAATACAGCTTGATAAATAAATTACAAGACAAAAACATAAACAAAACTTACAATTAGCAGTTTTAATCGGCCTTCCGCTCTTTCTCGGAAATGCTGTTCAGTTGAGCGACAGTTTGCCGGGCGTGTATTAATTAAAGTGCCTTTGTTAATTTGTGACAAACAGAAACTTGCCGTTTTATCTGTTGGAATATATTAAAATAAATAACAATAGATAACTATTATCGATTCCCTCCAGTTCAGTGATGATTTGCTAACGTAAAGTACCATGACCATCAAAATATCAAAAACCATCATGACAATATTTTCTAAATCATTTTCTTTCAAGATCGTTTATGTTAATTTTAAATTTGTGTTTTTTAAGTATGTGGTTGCAGCAATAAAGACAAGTTTTTTGCAACATGCTTAGCTTTTAGTTTCAGCACAAAGAAAAAAATCTCTGATTTTAGAAAACGACAATATACATGTATATGTTTTCATAAATAGAGTTACTAGAAAATAATCCTCACTAGCAAGAAGAATATTCTACGTGCAAATTCTGAAACGACTATATCACCGACCAAACAAAATATGAGCTTTTTCGATATGTCATGTTGTCGTTGACATTGCTGTTGCTGTTCCGGTTGTCATTCGAAAACATGAACCTTGGTAATTTTCTTTATTTCTCAATGGATTGCCATCACAATTGGACACAGAAACTATGAAAAGACCTTCAAGCCACAGTACTTTGCGTACTACATGACTCGTTGCATTTCTTTAAGTCCAACATCATCTGCCTTTCAACAATGCATCCTTTTTGTTTCTCCATACCGTCGCCTCATCATTAACACATTACCAGATTTATACGCCTTTCTACGCCTTTTTCAACCCCCCCGTCTTTTGCTTCCTCAAATGGTGACAAAATGCCTTATTTAGTCCCCCAAACACTTGTTTTTGTTTGAGAAATGTTGTTGAAAAAATTGATCACTTTTTCGGCGCGGCCCCCCATCCAAAAGATACATCAGGGGGTTGCCAGAACGGGGATGTGCCCCCCTTCTGTTTGGGGAGTTTGAAGGGGGCGGAGTCCCCCTCATCGCCAAGAAAATTTTGGACTTGTGGGAGGCTAAAAATGGCCCCAGGTCGATCATAAGGTAACGTGTAACCAATGCTGAAAAGCCTTTGACTCTATCTCAATCCATTGAGAAGTGGCAGCACTTTGAAATCAATTTTGATGGAAAAAATCAACGCAAAATAGTGATTTTTGGCAATTTTGAGATGGCCCCTAGTTGCCATGGTAACAGGAAATTTCAGACTGAGCATGTTGTTACAAAGGCAATGGTCAAGTCAATATTTGTGCCAAGTTTGATTAGTATTGAAGCAGTTTTTACAGTTTTATAGCAACTTGGACTTGTAACGGGAGACTTTTCAATGAAAATAGCCATTTTTCACAAAATGCTCATGGGGTAATGGGTTAATAAAAAAAAATCACAAAATAAATATGTACACTTGCCATAGAAAACGATCGGTGACAGACTATCCAAGAAGTTTCAGTCATAGATTGTTGCAGTAAATCAATCGTGCGACGCATTGTACAATACCAAAAACTTGAATGTGTTTAGATTGGTGCCAGAGAAGTACCGCGAGTTCTAAGCAGTGAAGAAAAAAATGCACGCATTCTATTATTAACCAAATTCCTTGACAAATGACGCTGAAAAGAGAGATTTTATTTTGGAAACCTTCCGTCTTAATAGTTTGCATTTTTTCAAGGGTGAATTATATTAAAATGCAGTTAAAGTGATTCTGCATTTTAACAACTTCCATTTTGAAAATATTCGTTAATGTTTATTACACATGTGTCAGCCCCGGTTTGAATAATATTTAAAGATAATTTTTGTTTCTGCAAACACGATTGTATATTTAATTTCGAAACATTTTTCGTATTGTCGTATTTTACAGATGCGCAAGGTTGATTGTTTTCGGCTAACCTAAATAAAATTTAGTTAACCTTGACAATTCTTATGTTATTTATTAAGTTCTATAAAATACATAACTTACTACGGAGTCAATAAGTGTCGATTGACGTTCATCAGTCCGTCTTTCTAGGTCAAATAAAGCATACCAGTTTGAAGACTTAAAATTGGTACCAGGTAAACAAGTCCTGCATACATCTCTTTCTATATATTTATTAATTTTTATTTATAAGCAATTGTTTGTGATCGTATTCTGTCTGCATGTTTCTGATTGTCAAGCATTATTGAAAGTTGACATTCACAAATAGTGCCTATTTACCAGCATATTTCTGTTCTTGTGGTGTAAGTCTTAAACTTAAAGCATAAGCCTAGGTTGTAATAAAGCAGTCTTTACTTGGCAGGGCAAAAGTATATAAAGAGACCACAAAGCGTCATTAGTCAGTAGAATATAAAACACTCAATAACAGTTATTTAAGGGCCATCCGCACGAGACGCAACATAATTTTTAGGGTCAAAAGTGGGATCTGTGATTATAATAAAACAACATTAAAGATCCCGTGATTCGTTCCAGATGACCTCTGTTTAACACGTAATCGATTTAAAGAGAGTTATCAGACATCCAGTCACGACGATAGTAAGGTTATTTTTTATTTGTGTAGCTTCGGGCCTGTATCGACAGTTGTAATGTACATACTTCTTTCTGTTCATATTATGGCGACGAAGATTCAGTCTTTCAAGTATCAAGTAAACCAGAACAAATGAAGCTGTTG